ATCAGAATAGGATGCTTTAACACTTGTCGAACTTTTTCCCCTCCAATCAACATTTCAGCTACTGGATTAGTAACTAAAAGCTAGTTCTGCCTAATTCCTGTTTCAGCAGCCAGGAAAGCTCCTCCACATCCCAACAAAGCATTAGGGGAAGGTACAGGCAGGGTTTAAATGAAACTCCATGAGAGTTTCCCGTTTCTAAGACCTGTGCTTAAACATCACCTTAATGTCTTGTGAACCCTGCCTGCAACATCTCTGTGGAACTTTTGTGTAGTCATATTTCCATTAAGGTGGACATGGTAGGCTCAGTTCCAAAAGCAAAATGTCATTGGCCCTATGCCTTGAGTCCAAGTGCATCAATTGTGACTCCCCAAAATTCTTTCCTACACTTTCTGTAGTGTTTGGTGGACAGAGTGGGAATAGCACAAAGTGGGTAAGCCCTGTCATGTGATGGGAGATAGAACTGTTTGAGACGGTGATTCAGTGCTCCTTTCCAGTTACTGATACCTCCAGAAATAAGGCACCAAGAGCAGGAGGAAACCATCCAGACTGGCTTTCTGTAGGCAGGGCAGTGAGTGGATTTGCCAGATGGGGAGGAGGAGGAAGCCAGCACAGATGGAACTTTGTTAGAGACCTAAGCACAGAACCAGCTGCGTGGGAGAGCGGTGGGAAGCTTCACCCCTGGCAGGCTTTCACCCTCAGAAAGGAAAACCAGTGCCAGAAGGGTAGCCCACACTGGAACCACTCTGTCTGCTTTACTTACAGCCCATCAGCCCCTCCATGCCTGTAAAATTGTCTGATCCCCAGATGAGCATGTTCATCTTGCCTTTGACAAAACCAGACCCCAAAAAGCTGTGAAGTGCCCACGTTACCCCTGCCCCTAGACCAAAGAAAAACAAACCTAAATTCCTTACTGCTCACCGCAGAGCTGCCCAAGTCATTCTCTGCCAGCTCACATTAAAGGCTGGTGGAACACTGCGGATGCCAGACCCTCCAGAACAGAGTTTGAGAGCAAAGAGAGGAATCCAGCATCTCTCTGTGCACCACTAGCAGCATTTCAGGCCAATCTCAGCTGCAAGCACAAGCAAAATACCACTTATTGTTAAGGTCTTCTTACACGAGAGATCTGTGTAAGCTGAAACAGTAGCTTATATTTTGCTGTGATTTTACAAAGCTTACACAAGATTTATTCTGTAGTAAAAAAATCAGGGTAGCAAAGGCTTCATGGGAGGACTACAGATGAAAATATTACTAAAAGGCTTTACATTAACATAGGGTTTTAACGCTTCAATCATTTGTGTGCAGTAGTTGCATTCATTTACAGCTACATTTACTCTGGGAGTTGTTTTCCATGAATTTTAGAGCTGGAAGAACACAAAGCATATGGCAGCAGTGGAAACAACCAGCCCCACACACAGCAGAGGCTGTTGCCTGACTCTTGGCTCTGCTGCTTGTTTTGGCATTTTCTGAAACACAAGTAATGTGAGGTAGTGCCTCTGCTCCAGATCAGGATAGAGGGAGGAAAAGGGAGAATTATTGCTTTCATCCAGATTTCTACATGCATTTAGCTTATTCAAACAGTTTACGGTAAATGAAAGCAAAAATTCCTCTTACATTTAACAAATTTTTATCAGCATCATTAATGCCCAGCGTGGCACTCTCTAGTAGAAATAGGGACTGCATTCTTCCTGCCTTTTAAATTTTTTTCTTTATGCACTCAAGAATTCCCTCCTAGGATTAGAAAACAAAAACGAAAAAGCTCATAAAAATGATACCAATTCCTGCTAAGAAAGAAGAGGGAAGAAGATACAGGTATCTATGACTGTATCCCCCTAAACTGTTCAAATGAGCAGAAGACAATTCCTGCAGCAGACAACCAGTGCTGAGGAAGCTTCAGTCCCAGCAGCATCCAAAACCCCAATCTCATATCACAGCTTGAATTGTCACCTCTAGTTTTTATGTTTTTTTTGGTGTAAACCATCACATCAAGAGTGGTTTGAGTTGGAAGGGACTTAAAGCTCACCTAATTTCATCCCTAGGCCAGAGCTCTACACCCAAATAAAGACATTTTTAGGGGAAAATTATCAAAATTACTCTATTTCTGTGGTATATATCAGTAGAATGGATGGATAGTTTTCCTGAGGCTCTTCTATACCATGTTGTCCTTATGCTGTTTCCTATATCAAAGTTTGCTCCACGTTTCACAGCTGTGGAGCTTAAAGCCATAGAATATTGATCCTAAAAATGGATTAATCGAGGTCAGTGGCTGACAGTGCACAGCTGGCTTACAACCGATATTGTAAATAACCCCGTTTATGCAATGCCAACAGTGCTTCATTACTCCATGAGGTAAGTATTTCTGACATGTCATATAATTATGGGATGGTTTCAGCTGAAAGGAACCTTAAGGATCATCCCATTCCACCCCCTGCCATGGCAGGGACACCTTCCACTATCCCAGGTTGCTCCAAGCCCTGTCCAACCTGGCCTGGAACACTTCCAGGGATGGGGCTGCCATTCCAGGCGTGAATGGCGCACTTTGGGCACAAATCTCCTTCCATCACCCTCAGGGCTCCACGGTGTGGGGCTTCCAGATCCTTCCCTGCGGAGTGAGCACTGCCGGCTGTTCGTGGGGGCGAGCCCCGCGTCCCCAGAGCGGGGCGGGGGGCGGCTCGGGTGTCTGAGGGGACGCGGAGCGACACAACCCCGACCCTCCCTCAACGCCTCCCTTCGGGACTGCATTTCCCAGCGTGCCCGAGGGTGGGGCAGTGCGGGGCCTGCGCGGTGACGTCATATGGAGGGGCGTGGCCTGCGCCAGCGTGAAGCGGGGCAAGCGGAGAAGG